GAGGGAGGGATCGGTGTTCGCACCGAGGCCAGCGAAACCAATGGTTGCGGGGCCTGTGTAAAATGATTGTCCCTTGCCCGGGTCTACGCGCTCGGGTCCCCACCTTACAAAAGACCTTGTTTCACATCTCATCCTAGTGGGGAGAACGAGGAAATACCGAGTTATAGGAATGTCTTATATTCCAAACGTGGTCAGTATATTTTGGCCGTGTTCATAGTTAATGTTACTGAGTGTTGTTTCTTTTTTTTATTATTAGGGTTTCAATCATTTTTTAATGTGTGTGTTTAAATGAGTTGTAATGGAGCTGTTGTAGGATAGGTAAGGCGTCTGGATAGGCGTGTAGTAGTGTGACCGATGTAGTTATTTATAAGTTTGCTTTGATCAGGAACATAGTTCCGTAAGGGGAATTGAAATCGTAATTAATATGTTTCCTTTGTAGTTCTGAATTTACAGGTGTATTATTCATGATAAAGGTTGACTGTTTTTAAATTTTTTGTAATAGATATTTTAATTTTCTTTTTCAGATTAACTGGGGTTGTATATTCCTTTATGATATTTCTAAGGGAAAATTCATCTTGCTTATAGTTGATGAGTTTTGGGATTTTGTAGAAGCTATACACATATATATATATATATATATATATATATATATATATATATATATATATAAGGCGCATATTTTTCTAAATTGATTTCTCGAATTTTCAAGCCGGGAGATGGAAATAAATAAATATACTGTTTAAAATAAAATAATATATAAAAGCATAAGCAAGTAAAATGCAAATTTCATTTACTTTTTTGCACTATATAAGACAATATTCCTAAATAGAACTATGTTTGATATGAAAATCAAAATAATTCTTGAATAAAAGAACACTAATGAAAGACAATTAATTAATGAAATATATTTTTTTTAAATCAATATGCAAATTAATTAATCCTGAAGAGTGATATCACCTAGAAGTAGATAATATATAACACAAATATTGAGCTTTTAGCGTATAATTTAATATAAAGTCGAGCTGGAGTTTTTTTTTAACCCCAGACTTCGTTGGATAATAGTTCTCCAATTTCATATTTCTTTCTATAGATTCTATAGTTCAGGTTTGACTTAATTAGCCACTGTGTTTCTCTAACTCTTCAAATGTTGAATGCATAACTATTTCTGTTTTCCCATCTTTACACTATATTAATTTTATCTTTTAAATTGTCTCCTGTTCTGTCACCCATGAAATAAAAATAATTGTTTGTACACAAAATAAGTATCTACGTACATCAAATCGTCTTTAAATCAAATGGCAGCCGGCAAATTATCGTTGAACTTTTAAAGGTTAAGCTTAAACATTAATTCAATACTTAAATGCAGCGATCAATTTTGAGTTCTTCTGTAGTTTATTGATGCCTATCGCATCTACTCCTCCCTATTGTGATGATGGCCAAACCAAGAGTCCTCCTCAGGAGCTAGCTTAAATGCCGCCTGACAGGGCATCTTTTAAGCTAGTTTATAATAAAGCGACCACTGCAATTTGGGATACAAAAGGAAAATAAGAGTTACTCCCCTTGAACTATGAAAGCAACGATAACGGCTAGTATAATAATATATACTTTTAACCTGTCAGTCCTGAATCTGAGCTCAAAGAAAACTTTTCTAGGGCTTTTGAATGAGCTATGAATCATTGAAATCGAACCAGTAGGAGCGGAAGAGTTGCTTGAACACACATAGGCACACATACACACACATAGGCACACACACACATACACTGCGCTTTATATATAAGATACTGGATTAGAAGTTACAAAATAATATTAAAACATTGTTTAAATCATTGCCTGTATTTTTCATTATTTTCTTACACGTTTTCTGTCACAAAATATATAATTGTAGCCAGTAAGGTTTTTTTTATTGCTTAATTATTCTGGTTTTAAGAAAAAATTATAAATAACGAAATTACTAGTAAAATAAGCTGGTAGAAATTAATACAGGGTTATTAAATTGATAGTGTTAATTGATTATTTTCAATTTCATCCCCTTTCAGATTAAACTGGAAGAAAAAATTACACGCCACCAAATAGCAAGCAGAATATGATAGCGACAGATTTGTCTATATTCCTGAGATGAGGTATTATGTACACTATTTACGTTATTCGGACTATTGTCCTCATCTTTGTCGCCATATTTATTATAACGTTTCGGCCGTTGTACGCTTCGGCCTTCTTCAGGAGGTTGGAATGTCGAACTGAACCTTTTACTTCGCTCACTGGGGTAGACTGTTCTAGTTTAATGGATGTCAGTTGTCAGTTATCTCCTGTTAATTCCCCTCTGCAAGTTCCCCACTGCCTTAACTCACTCTCTTTAGGTCCTGTCACTGGATTTAATTAACGCCTTTATCCAATTTGCCATGTGTCCTTGAGGACACAACTGATATCCATTAAACATGGCATGTGGAACTAGAACAGTCTACCCCAGTGAGCGTAATAAAGGGTTCAGTTCGACATTCCAACCACATGAAGAAAGACGGGGCGTACAACGGCCGAAAGGTAGTAATAAATATGGCGACCAAAATGAGGACAATAGTCCGAATAATGTAAATAGTGAGCGACAGATTTCTTTTAAATTAAAAACAATTAGAAGATAACAAAACTTCAACGAAATTGTCAACACTCGTTCATTGATGAATCTAATTTACGCTTAGAAGGGTATTCTATGAGATCTCCCTATAGAAATAAAGTTTTCAGATCAGCCAATCGCTGCCTTATGTCTTTCCTGAAACCTGTTCCTTTACTGACTTTTATCCTTAAAACCTTGCGCACAACATTGACAGAAAAAAAAATGCTACTCTGATCAAAGGAGGAAATAATTCACTACGACGTAAATGTCTAGAGAGAGCCTTTCTCGCAAGGTCATCTACAGTTAATTTGCGCCTTGGCTCTTTCCATATTTCGCTATACCTGGCAGATTTTATGCTATCACATTGTGGGATGCCTACAAACAAAATGATGGAAAGAAAAAGAAAAAGAATTTAAATGAAATCGGTTAAAAAATGTTTCAATTTAAAATTCCCAGCATCCTTCGTTCGTGCGCATGTGTAGTCGCAACAACATAAGAAATTTATACCGATGATGTCTTAAAGGACGAAACGCGTCACTAGAAAACTTTTCCACTTTGTCATACATTTTCCCCATATATATATATATATATATATATATATATATATATATACAGGGTGATTGAAAAGTAACTCCCTATTTTATGTATGTGTGGCCAGCCAGGAGTCCCGATTGACACCTTTTCCTTTTTTTCTTTGGAGTTGGTTAAAAGAGCAAGTCTACCATAGCAATCCAAGACTTTGGAAGAACTTGAAGAGCGAATACAAGAAAGTATGCCTTCCATACTACAAGAGTTCCTTGTGAAATCAGATGAAGCGATTCCTGGCCGGCTCGTGAAGCTGGTAGCGAAATCTGGTAGGCATATTAAATTTTAAATAAAGCCTCATGCTAAACTTTTACCTCACCTTTTATATATATATATATATATATATATATATATATATATATATATATATATAGATATAGATAGAGAGAGAAAAGAGAGAGAGAAGAGGTACCTCCCAATAAGCAATAACGAATGTTTAAAATGCTTTTAAAAAATTTTTAATCTTTCTTGAAGCTTTCATTTTAGTTTTAATTCCAAGCTAATGGATTAAATGTAATATTTCCAAAAAGAATAATAATAATAATAATAATAATAATAATAATAATAATAATAATAATAATAATGACAATGATTTAAAGCAAAAAATAATTTATTGTAAAAATTATAGTTATTAAATAAATTATAAGTATTTTAAAATGAGTAGTTACTTTTCAATCACCCTGTTTATATATATATATATATATATATATATATATATATATATATATATATATATATATATATATATATATATATATAGAGAGAGAGAGAGTGGAAGAGAGAGGGTACCAGCCAATAAGCAATAATTAATGTTTAAAATCCATTTAAAAATTTAAATCTTGAAGCTTTCACTTTAGTTTCAATTCCAAGCTAATAGATTAAACTTATTATTCCCCAAAAGCAATATAATTTAAATAATAATAATAATAATAATAATAATAATAATAATAATTTAAAGCAAAATAATTTTTTGTAAAAATTATAGTTATTAAATAAATTATAAGTGCTTTAAAATGGGGAGTTACTTTTAAATCAGACTGCATGTTCTACTGGCGATGACATTATTCAAATGAGATATAGACGCTTAACACAGCACTGCGAAGACACTTGCAGTGGCCCAACGTAAAATATCTTAGTTTTTCATCATTTTTTTTTCTTTTTGGCAAAAACGTGTCTCCATGCACCTAACAAAATCTTTAACAGTTTATTAAAAATAGAAAAAAGAATATAAAATAAATGAGTGTGTGTGTGTGTGTCAATGCGAACGCGGGCAACGAAGACTCAATGAGTCCGTATGATTATACGTTTGCGAGTGTGTATATGCGTACGAAAGACTGTTAGACGTTTCAATATATATATATATATATATATATATATATATATGTGTGTGTGTCTGTGTGTGTGTGTGTGTGTGTGCGTGTGTGTGCGTGTGTGTGTGTGTGTGTGTGTGTGTGCATAAGCGTATTTGCATGTGAACATAATCAACTGGGCGTGCAAGAGAGCAGGGGTTCTTTTTTTTTTTTTTTGCAAGTATGTTTCAAAAATATCGACTTTTCTTCAGCCGGTTTTCGGTAAAAAAAAAAAAGAAAAAAGCATTTTCTTCTTCTGGTGCCGAATCCCACAAGACGGTGCGATATGGGATATTTTGATTTCAAGTATGTTGTACTCGGGGAAAAAGGGACCGGATACATTTCGGTTACTCGTCGCGTGTTGTCGCCAAATAATCCCAAAATATAGACCAGCTGGCGTCAATTGAACAAGAAAAGTCACAAAAGCATCAATTTAAACAGGACAGGACAAGAGCTAGCTAACTAGGTACATAGATAAATAATGGACATGAGATAGATAGATAGATAGATAGATAGATAGATAGATAATGACTAGACTGATATATATATATATATAGATAGATAATGGACATGAGATAGATAGATAGATATATAGATAGATAGATAGATAGATAGATAATGACTAGACTGAGAAATAGATATATATAAAGAGAGAGAGAGAGAAACAAAAAGAGAGATAATGATTAAACTGAGACATAAACAGATAGATAAATAGATAATGATTAGAGTGTGTTAGATAGGCAGATAGATAAATATCAGATCATCCCATAAGTTCTGTCCGAATTTTGAATAAAGAAAACAAGTGACCAAATGTTACATTTAATTATAGATTCAATCAACAATGCATTTTCCCTGATTATCTATGACTTCCTTCCATCTATTAACAAGCTTACTAATTCCATTACTGTAAAACTCTTTTGGCTTTGATTCGAAGAACTCACAAATGTTAGTTTTAACCTCTTTCTGTGTTACAAAAACTGTTTCTTCCAAATGATTCTGTAAGCTACGACACAAATGGTAGTCTGAAGGAGCAAGATCGGGAGAATAAGGTGGATGAGGAATTTCCTCCCAACCAAGTTCGATCTTTTGTGACGTGATTCTTGCTGTGTGGGGTCGCGCATTGTCCTGATGAAACATCATCCCTTTTCGATTCACTAGAGCAGGTTTTTTTCCTCAAAGCTTGGTTCAAACGCTCTAATTGCTGACAGTATATTTGAGCATTAATTGTTGCATTAGGTGGTAAGAATTCAAAGTGGATTATTCCTTGGTGATCCCACCAGATTGAAAGAAGAACCTTTTGCCCATGAAGTTCCCTACTCGGCTGTGGCTGGAGTCCTTCCCCTTTACCAAACCACTGTCTACGACGCTTAACATTTCGATAAAAGATCCATTTTTCGTCGCCAGTCACAAGTCTATCCAAAAAAGGTGAAAAGTTGGCGAGAATGGAGAGAAGAGTAGATGTCAACTCGGGATTTGAGGTTGTTTTCAGACAATTCATGAGGCACCCATTTTCCAAGTTGAGGAACTTTTCCAAGTTGTTGAAGATGACGATGAACAGTTGTATGGTTTGAACTGAGAACCACTCCCAATTCCTCAACTGATAAAGCAGGATTTTCTTCAAGGACTGCTTCAAGAAGCTTTTCATCAAACTCAACTGGACGTCCGGTTCGATCTTCATCTTCAAGGGTGAAATCTCCACCTCTGAATTTTGCAAACCATCTTCTGCAAGTTCTTTCATTCACACATTCCTCTCCATAAACTGAGTGAATGTTTCTAGCCGCTTCGCCTGCTGAGTTTCCTTTCTTGAACTCATAAAGCATTATGTGCCTCAAATGATTCTTGGGTACTTCCATGTTAGCAGGGATTTAATCAAACAAAATTTACTTTTATTGTTCTCTGAAATAAAATTTGATCAGTTTAAATGCATCTAAACATAAAAATAATGTTCAGCTCCATTAGACATTATAAAATACTCTTTAAATTTCGTTCATATTAAATAAAGGTAAAATTCGGACAGAACTTATGGGATGACCTGATAATGACTAGACATATATATATATATATATATATATATATGTGTGTGTGTGTGTGTGTGCGTGTGTTTATGTGTGTGTGTTTATGTGTGTGTAGATAGATAGATAAATAGATAGATAGATAGATAGATAGATAGATAGATGAAGTAAAGAGGCAGTCATTAAAGTTTAAAAACGCACCTAAATTAGATCGAAGAAGAGTAACAAGAAACATTAGGTTTTGAAAATGCTTAAATAAGAAAATAAATCAAGAAGATAAAGAAAAGAAAGGAAAACAGACAGCGAATCAAGAATGCATATGTAAAAAAAAGGGCCACAGTATAGAAAAACAAACAAAAAATTTTCAACAAAGAACCTGCAGCATAGGCAACAGAAGAAAATCTGGTAACAACGACAATAGATGAAAACAGGTCAAATATTTTTCAAGATGCTGTCATCTTATGTAAATCTTTCTCTCCTGACTGCTCTATAATTAATGTGAAAAACATGATTCGTTTTGTTTGAAACTGTCATCCATTATATCACCTTCATAAAGTACCCTAGAAGAATTCTGAAATAAAAGTATTACTGAAATTTGAGACATTTATCTCATTCTTCTATCGATTGGGGCTGTACAAGCCTTTTTCTCTATATTTCGTTCTCCTTGCCTTGGCGCTTGTTTTTTGTTCTACATCCAATTTTTGACTTTGGTTAAACTTCCGGATGGCATTTTGTATCCTAAACTCGGTAATTATTTAAACATACAACGGTTTCCTCAACAGCTTTCCTCTGACCGGACAATGGACCACTCCACGTTGCGTCTCAATTCTCGTTCGTGTCTGCGTGCGCCAATAAAACTGGGAATTATCCGCTGCATGTTCACGAAAGATGAAAACAAACCCCACTGCGAGAAATGACAATTCAGACCCTTTCTCTAATATATTTAGACGTTTTTTCTTCTTCTTCTTCTTTTTTATCAGGGATCTTACCTGCTCGAGATCTCATCTTACCTGCTCGAGATAGGTGAGACTTAGGATTACTTCCACCATGTCAGTCAAACAGCCCATTTCTTCCGTCCTATCAACCCTCTACACATCTCGGCATGTGATCGGCAATACGAAGGGACGACATTAGAACTTGCCTAGAGACAGTCTGTCCTCCACCACGAGCAGGCCCAAATTTGCTTCCTCAATCCCACTAAACATTTAATATACACCAGCAAATGGAATTCATTAATGTCCGGATTGTTGCCATTGATCTCTAAAACCCTCATCCACTCATTTATTTTTCTGTTCCTCTTCGGCCTAGTGGGTGCCGCTTAAAAGACCCAACTTGAAAGACTCCATCCGCCGTCTATAAATTAGAAACACTTGAGATCTAGATGAAATCTCACCTTCATCTTCGATGTGGGTGTGTCGAAACATGGTGTCACGCCTATATACATAAATTTCTCGATTATCCGTATATTGATTTTCAGGATATCGATTATCAGAACATGGAAAGAACGTAAAATAATAGTTTTTCAGACTATTATTTTTAGGGGGAAATATATCACGGCTCCGAATACTGGAGAATGACATTCGGTGTCAGATGTGAACCATAATAGGGAAGTTAATTTTGATTCGCTGAGCTAGCGTGGGAAAGATAGATACGAGAATGGCTTCAGAGAGTTGCTTCTTACCCGTCAAGCGATGTAGATGTGTTCTCTTTCGTGTCCAAAACGGCTCCCCAGTGAGGGGATGACCCCCACTGGATAGTTAGATCATGTACATGTCGACATGAGTAATAGAAATTCTCTGTGTCTCATTGCTGAAACAAAACGATTAGCGATCGTCGGCCGAGATGAGGCGACTCTAACTAGGAGGCGATGCAACATGAAGAGAAAAAAGTCAAATCATCCGAAAATTTTCCAATTATCCGAACTGAATCCATTTTAATATTTAATCTAGGACAAGCGGTTTGAGAATTTAGAAAGCCGTACAAAATCAGACTAATTCTTAATTTCCTCGATGGTTTTATACGCAGAATTGCATTCGAATTATCACAGCTTGTTCAAGCCAGACATAACGTCTACTGGACTCCCCAGACCTCAAGTTAAACCTTAATGATGTCAGTCAGCTGATATCTTATTAAATGAAAAACAGCTGACCGGTCACAAAACAGGATTCGAACATTTCTCCCGATGATTATCTGTAAGTGAAATGGTCTTCACAAGTATAGAGCAAGCAGATGGCACAAAGAGAGTCACTGAATGAAGATAAATTACTTTTTTAGACAAATATGACAGGACAAAGAACGATATTCTCTATAAGACAGTGACCAGTGCCTGCGAAAAGTTAGAGTGACTTTGAGTGCCCATGAGGAACTACATGAAAGGGAAGACGCCCATTAGACCGTCAGAAATCATATATACGATCTATCGCTAAAGGAAAATTGATTGTTTCGCTTTAGCAACTGATTCTCAATTCAATGCTTTATCTTTACAAGAGCCAGATCCGACAAAAAAATTGAAGTATTACTGCTATATATGGGCTGGAGCTACCCAGTCCTCTTAGCTGTCTTGATAGAGTTCAAAAGCGACTTTCTGGTGAAAAATTATTTTCCAACCTACAACCTATTTCCCCACAGGCAAAACCTTATGAGACCTTCGCTGCTCTGTTGGTATTTCCATGGTATGTGTTCTGAGATGCAACTGACCTTTACAACGGGGATCCGCCAAGCCACATACACGAAAATGAATCATGCCGATTCTCTTCGTATTCCATTAGTAAGGAGTAAGTTCTAATCGGAGAGCTTCTTTCCAAGACCTGCTGTTTTGTGGAACAGACTCCCAGCAATTTTTTCCCCAATCACTACCTTTCTTTTATTGATTGTATAGCAGGTGTATAGGTGATTTCTTGTATTATTATTATTATTAGTAGTAGTAGTAGTAGTAGTATTTCCTTTGATTTTTTGTTGTATACTCATTTCTTTCCGGGTTCCAACCACAGAGTTGAGGTAAGAAATGGCTTCATGACATTCTCCACTGTTCATTTATGTAAAAAAATCAAATTTAAGTTCACACACATTTTACATAGATAAAGCTTTAACGTAATGTGTTAGCGGTACTCGTTGGTACAATGTTTTTTTTTATTTCTTATAAATTCATTGAAAGGATTCCTGGTAGCCTATCTACCAGGAATCCTTTCAATGAATTTATTTGAATCTTTTCCAATCAATCTGTGGTCTGCAACTTTTAGTCATTAAGCCGATGGCCCGATTGACATCGCATTCATTTAATAATAATGACAATGTATCATCTACGAAATTCACACAAGTTAAAACTATTACATCTAATTATTATTAGGTGTAAACAAGCAACAAATCAAGATGAAAGAAATACGAGTCAAAAATGAATAATAATGACAAGGCTTCATTTAAGAAATTCAGACAACTTAAGACTATTGCATCTACTACTACTACAGTTTTGTTTTGGAGACATTAATATTTACACCTCATCATTTCCTCTACTGATTGGAGATCCTTTTCGTGAGCAGTTGCTATTTTTATTGTTGGATCTGTCGGACTTGCTATTAAGACAGGACTGAATAGTTATATCAACAGCATTACCTCATTGGAAACTGATGGAGGGTCGTTGGTGAAGATAAGAAACAATGTAGATCCAAGGAGAGGTGCCATTAAAGTAAAATGATTTAAAAGCGTGTTCTTTAAGAGAATTGCAGGGATACCTTCGAATCACAAGCTTTGCTGGGAATCTAGTTTAGAAATGACTGCAGAAACCATGTACGGAATATGTGTATATCTCTCAGTAGAGAGACTGTTCTAGGATGAAATCAAGCAGAGATACTCCAGGTGAGTCGAGAGTGGAGTTAGAAGATAATTTCTGAGCAAAGCATTCTACTTTATCTGCAGTAGGGGGTCATGCTTCAAGTTGATTGAAGAGAGGAAAGATTAAGTATTTGCTCTTGTTCAGTACATTCTTACAGAGCCGACGGTAATTTCTAGAAAAACAGACGCTATAGGGTGTCTCATTCTATCAGCGAATAGTGATTTTGCTTTTTTGAGGACACGCTTACACTCATTCCAGACGTTGTGAATCGTTTTTAGGAGAGGCAGTTATAACTGTCTTAGATTATTATACTTTTAGTCTATGACTACAGGGGAGGTATGGTGGATTAAGGGATAGCGGCTCGGAGAGCCGAATTCGAATGCCAGTCGGATCCATTAGATTCACTTGTGAAAGGTATCAATCTTCTTCTTCTCCCCATTGGTAAATAGCAGGGCAGACTGGGTTCTATAGCCTTGGGTGAAGGAGAAGGAAAAACTCTGAATTCAAAACTGGCCAGGGTTAGGGTTGGGTTGGACTCCGTCAGGCTATCTTTCCCAAGAACCACCACTTCTACTGTGGCTGCAGTACACAGGATGCCTCTACGGGTCACGGGATAAAAAAATATGATTACTATTAAGTTAACCTGCCAACTTTTGTTATTCCAGATTGAAGGAGACAGGTGTAACAACCATTTAGACACTACTTTGAACTTTACTAAGCAGAACTGACTAATTTGAAGAATGAAGACTGGAGGTGAAAACAGTTTGGAAGTTCGCTACGCAATAAAGTGTTGACTGAGATTGACATTCAAACAGTCCCCCTAAACTCCCTAAAGTCAAGACCTTCCTTCCTCTAACTTTTGGTTTTTCTCCGAGCTGAAAGTGAACCTCACGAGCAAGTAATTTTTAAGACACTGAAAAGAAGGTGACTGTGACGCTGGTCACGGACGCCTTCACATTGGTGATTTCAATGGCGTCATTACGAAGTGTTTGAGACGCATTAAAGTCAGTGGATCCTACTTTTTGAAGGAGGTTAGAGTTTTGTACTTCATTGAAATTAATAAATGTCTCTCCTGAAAAAGGCTAAAAAAATTTCTGGAACGCATCTCACTAAACACTGCTTGTCGTAGCCGACTAGTTTGAAGAAAGCAGTCGGGACGTGAAAACAATTTGAAAGCTCGCTATTCAATAAGTTTTGTGTTAAACTGGACAAAAACGCTAACGAACTACTCCAGATCGCTTATGGATTAACTTGTATGAGCTGAGCATCTGTTTTTTGCTGACACAAGAAATTCAAGGACGATTAAGAGGAGGTGAAAGATCTGGGTTGAGAAAATTTGTAATTTTCTGGACGAAGACAGTCATGTTTGTATAAAGAAAATACGCTTACTGTTGGTGTGGCAACTGTACACAGAATTATTCATGAAGATCTGAAGATGTGGAAAAGAAATTGACGAACAGAAAGCAAGACACGTCGGTGGCAGAGATAGGAATCAAAATTGTCCCCCGCACACTATACAGTCCAAAGCTGTGACTTGTGGTTGTTCCCCAAGTTGAAATGGCATTCGTTTTAAGGGCATTGGGAACATTGAGGAGGCTGTGACATAGATCCTGGACAACTTCATTTTGAATGATTTCCAGCAATTATTCACGCAAATGGCTGGAGAGCTATATCAAATGCATTGACGTCAATGGATCCTACTTTGAAGGAGATTAGTGTTTTGTACTTCATTGAAATTAATAAATGTCTCTTTTGAAAAAGTCTCAAAACTTTTCAAACAAAAGCAAAGCATTGAGAAATAAAAGATATATTGCTAGAAACAAAGAAACAACTACTGGACTGTTACGTAATAATAGTCCTTCTATATGGAAGAGAATGCTGGGCAACCTCCTCACAGATGAAGAATAGACTTGAAGCAACAGTAATTTGGTTCTACAGAAGGATAATGAGAATACCATGGACTGAATGTGTGAGCAATAACGAAGTCTTAGACACTTATACTGAACATCAGAAAGAGAAAGTCGAGATTTCTAGGGTACATAATGAGGAAAGAGGGCTTGGAAAATTTGATACTCCCAGAACAGATTGATGGCAAGAGAGAGAGAGAGAGGAAAACAACACATAATCTTACTGGCGATCTTGTGTTAATGGATAACAGAATAGGGTTTAGAAGGTATAAGGCCAACATTTATTAAGAGCTAAAAAGGACAGGAAATTGTGGAGAGCCTTGATTGCCAGTGTCCTGAAGAAACATGACACACAGAAGAAGAAGAAGTATTAAAATATAAAGCTGCAAGAAAGAGAGAATGAAAAGGCCTTGTGATGTGTGAGTGCGTGTGAGTATATCCATATACGGATGTGTGCTTATGTTTGAGCATAAGTGTACGTGATAAAGTGTATGAGTAGGAGAGTGTGTGTGCGTGAGTGAGTATGCGCATGTGTAATTCACCAGCAATGACGTTGATGACTTCACGTTTATTGTGATAACAATAAAGTTCATTTTGGAAAGCCCCGTTTTAAATAAACCCCACACAGCCTACAAAAAAGAAATCACAAAAAGAAAGTCTCACTCGTAGGTGAACATGTACTCGACTAAGCAAGTCTTAATAAATAGAAAAATTCCATTGCTTTGTCGATATACTGGAGGTTGTCTTCGCCCACATTCTTGTCAAGCGATAATCACAGCCTATATGGCATCTTTACATTGTCCGGCAGCCATTGTACAATATTTCTTCTTCGTCAATAGATCAGACTTTGTACGTCTCTCGTTCGTTGTTCTTAACTCTTTCCAAGCCGAAGTTTCGCCACCTCCTCCCCCACTTCAATTCTTCGCACCAACGCCTTTGAGAATTTTTGCATAGTACCCGATACCCATTCGATTCTTTGTGAACTACCACGATTTTTTTAAACTTTGCCGCCCTTCCCACAACTACTGATTTGCCAAAGTGCCTTAATTATGGTCGAGTTAATTGTACCGTGTCTGTTAAAATAGAAAGAAAGACAAAAGAAGCGTCAATGTTTGTGGAGAAAGAAAGAAAGAAAGAAAGAAAGATGAAAAAGAAGTAAACTGAAAAAATAAACGGAAGAAAAAAAATGAAAGAATTTGAAGGAATAAAGAAAGATTAAAGAAAGAATTTGTAAAGGTGAAAGAAAGTATTTGAACATGAAAAAGATGAAAGGTAAAGTCTGAGGGGAAAAATAGATGGAAGAACTTAAAGGAAAAAGAAAATGAAAGATAGCGTTTGAAGGAAACAGGAGAAACAAGAAGGAAGGAGAATAAAACGAAAGATGAATGAAAAAAAAGAAAACTAAAGATTAAAAAGAACGGAACAAAGACTGAAAAGTGAAGAAAGAAAGAAAGAAAGAAAGAAAGAAAGAATTATCCGAACAAAGAAAATGTAAAAAGGAAAAAAGAAAATAAAGAAAGAGAAAAAGAAAGAAATAATACAGATACATAAAGATCAATAAAAGAAAGAATAAAAGAAAAAAAGAATATGAAAGATAAAGAAAGAAAGAACATAAAAGAGAATGAACAATAAAGAAAAAATAAAAAGGAAGAACAATTATAATAAAAAGAAAAGAAAGAAAGACGGAAAAAAAGAAGGATACTACCGAAGCCAAAAAGAAAAAAAAAATGAAGGATATTACCGAAGCCAAAAAGAAAAAAAAAATGAAGGATATTACCGAAGCCAAAAAGAAAAAAAAAATGAAGGATATTACCGAAGCCAAAAAGAAAAAGTAAGAAAGAAATAAGTTTTCTGCTGTTTGCGTCGTCATCGTCATTTCTCAGGTGAACGAACGTCATTGCCAGTTATTCACCTTCCTTTGATGGTGACACGGTGGTCGCCTCTTATGAGAAGCGAAAAGGGGCAGGACAAGTTAATGGATGTATGAATAGGGGGTCAGTAGGAAGGGACTTCAAGGTGAGGACTACTGCCGAACGCCAAAATTAAGGCAAATCAATTTTTCATTTGTCATATATATATATATATATATATATATATATATATATATATATGTGTGTGTGTGTGTGTGTGTGTGTGTGTGTGTGTGTGTGTGTGTGTGTGTGTGTAATGAAATGGACAAAGTCCGACAATTATTAATACATTTTTATATAAAAAATAAAAAGACGGTATAAACATAAAAAATGTCTTAAATAATTGTCGGACTTTTGTTTACATATGGATACGCATTGAGCAGATATGAATGAATAAGAGAAAATCATGGGGAATTGTGCTTAAAAAGTAAAATCGACCTTGCTAACTGAACGCTCCTCTCTGGCCCAATCGCCAGGCTATATGACGGTTCCGTATAGGATACAGGTTCGATTCCTGTCGCAGGAAGCATATTTTCTATGAAAATATCTCGGACATTCAGCCGGTAAATGTTGTTACTGTTTATTATAAACAGAGCATTTACTTAAATATGTGTATCTATAAAAAGAACGTATAAACATAAAAAAAGTATATATATATATATGTAGGATCAGAGACGAAAAAATTAAATGCGAATCGAAATATGCTACCTGGATTTTACTAAAAATAAAATAATTTCCATGCTTGAGGATGACTAAATGTACCGTTGAAAGTACATGCATATTTCAAAAAAAGACCTTATACAGCTTATAATTCTTAAAAACAAGGATCATAACATTCATCGAGTGATTTATCGGTTAATGAAACTTTCAAATTTTGTTTGCGAAGGGGTTTCGACATTTTATATCGTTAACTTTACTAATCTACTTTTTTGTATGAATGATTCATTGTAGTATAAATTGAACTGCACCACATAATTGATATATATATATATATATATATATATATATATATATATATATATATATATATATATATATATAATCTGGAGCAACAGACACATGGAAATGAGTGGAGTTCATCTTTTTCTTCCTCCGTGTCCTTTGATGACATAGGCGATCATGGCTCTCCACAATTTACTATACTTTTGAAGCTCCTAGTAAAATTTGACATTATGCTATCACTCCTAAAACCTCTACTGCCATGCATTTACGCAAGTAGCTTATGCGTTGTTTTCCTCTCTCTCTCTCTCTCTCTCTCTCTCTCTCTCTCTCTTGCTTTCAATACGTCTTGTGAGTGTCAAATTAGAAATTTCACCTGTCTGTTTCTGATTCTAAGTATAAGCCCTCTTTCGTTTCCATTTCCTCTAAAACTTCTTCGTTGCTCACATGTTCGGTTCGTGATATTCTCAGCATCCTTCTGTAAAACCACATTTCTGTTGACTCAAGGTTTTTCATCGTCTGAAAGGCGATCATCTTGCTTTCACTGTCATGTAGGAAGACTGGCAGTGCCTAATGGTCCAGTACTCTTTTCTATGCTTTAAACGAAATTTACCGCGTCCTGGGTAAGACGATAAACTACATCCGACAGCAAGGACTTTGATCAGGAGGTTTTGAGGAGCGTGGAACCACCTCTTAATTGCTGGTGTTCCGAGTTCCACCCTTACCCGGGGTGGTAGCATCTGTTAGGGTCCCAGGTATGATCAAAATGCTATGAAAGAGTAAAAAATAGATTTTAATACCAGCAATACATTATTGTAAAAAATTATTACCAGCAATGAATTTTTGAAAAAATTATTACCCGCAATACATTATTACCAGCAATATATTTTTGAAGAAAAAATATTACCAGCAATACATTTTTGAAAAATAAATAGTACCAGTAATACATTTAAAAATATATTACCACGAACTAAACCGAAATTTTCGTGTTCCTTAATGCTTTACTTAGCTTTTGAAAGACATTTTTGCCGTCCCAGTACGCCTTCATATTTCAGTGTCATATTTATTATAAACTGTTACAATGGAACACGTACAGTACCGCGGCAAAAATGCTTATTTGTCGCGGTACTTAACATGTTCCATTGTAACAGTTTATATATATATATATATATATATATATATATATATATATATATATATGTATGTATGTATAATCAAAGAAAAAAAACCTTAAAGATTCATTTCGTCGGTTATAATTTATTTTGTGAATATCTATATATTAATCTCTTCAGACCGAAATCTCTTTGTAAATAGAGACATTACCCCGGGCTGATATATTAGATTGACAGTGGGAAGGGAAAACAAAAGAGAAGAGAGGAAGAAAAAAAGAGTTAGAGAAAGGGTATGGAAACAATGGCGGAAAAAAAAAGGAAGTAGTGAATGGGTAGTAGTAAGCCTAAAAAGACTGACCTGGCCAAGATTTTTTTTTTTCCTTAAAGGGGGTGAACTTTATGTTATACAGTAAATTGACCGATAAGGCCCGCAGGACAAATCAACCCAATTCTGAATTTAGTTTAATAAAACTGTGCTTAATACAAATAAATAAAAAAAATTTAAAACACTTGCTGCTCATTATTATTGTTTCTGTTCCTAATTCTTCCACACTCTGTAACCCCTTATATTGTGGTGGCATTACTGCCTTGTTTGGGGTGATACCGATTAATATATATATATATATATATATATATATATATATATATATATATATATATATATATATGTATGTATGTATGTATGTATGTATGTATGTACGTATCATGTGTAACAATAAAACAATAAAATTGTCCAAATCGAGGCAGCATGGTATAATTATCCATCCCTCAAAACGTTTAATATCTAAAAACATCACTAAACTAATTGTGTTTCTATTTTTCCAGGTTTCATATAAGACGTTTAGCCATCTTGACACGATTTGTCGTAAGAATCGTCGAAAAAAAAAACCTTTGAATTATTCAGCTAGAAAGAGAACAGGTTAAAATTGTTTTTTGTCAGCCCCACTGTCTTGACAACTGAGCAATGTTGAGAGGAAAAAGATTATCCAGGCCTTCAGTAATGGTACCAACATTCATACTCTGGATTCTGTCTTCAATGTCCATTCAAGAACTATCGAGATAACGGTGAATAAGTTTACAAAAGAGGGAACACTAGAGAAGAAAGCTGGATCAGGAGGTCACAACCGCAAGAGGAATCATCATTTCAACTTAGAGTTAAATACATTCTTATTATTTTAAAGTAGAGTACAGTAGTTTCATAAAAACCTTGGAGAATTTGAGTAAGATATCTTTAATCATTTCTAAGATATAACGCTACAAAGATTAAGCTAAAAAATTGAAACAATATGCTGGTATATATATATATATATATATATATATATATATATATATATATATATATATATATATCAAGTATGTGGTGCAGTTCAATTTACATTACATTTTTTTTTGTATGAATGATTCATGTAATATATATATATATATATATATATATATATATATTAAAAGAAGAGAGAAACTGCAAACGTTTTGGTTGTAACGTGAATTTTAAAAAATATAATGCTTTTAGTTTCCATAATTTTGCTACACGGGTTTTCGGTCTCGCGACCGTCATCAGGCAAAGAATGGAGATTTCTACATATTATTATAAAAAAATTTGGTCATTATGTTTTTTGATGTTAAATATTCTCGATATGAGACATTCTCTTTTTTGTGTCTTAGTAGCCCAAATATCTTTCTTGAACTGGAGACTGGAAACACGTGTAGCAAAATTATGGAAAATAAAGCACAATATTTACACACTTTTTCTCGTGGAAACTACTATAACCTCTTCCTATATATATATATATATATATATATATATATATATATATATATATATATATATATATGTACTCAAATCAGGTGACCTCTCGAGAGAGAAGAGTAATTTTAAGAACAGTGGCTGCTATTAATGCATGGCTCTTCAACTACGAATTGAGCTCTCCTGGTGTATTTCGTATAGAAAACGTTAGAACTTCCCTTCCTCTCTACCGTGCGCCGACAGCCTAGGGGTAAGTTCTCTGACATGCCAAATCCGTAAATTTTTCATCTCGGCTTGAAGCAATTGGACATCTAGTCACACTGAAGAGCTGTGATACAGCGAAACAGTCTGTCTGTGGATGACTATATAAATAAAAACTTTTAAAGCACACTTTATTTATTAATCTGACATATGTTTATTACTTAAACGTTATCTATAAATAAAAACCATGCGCGTCTGCAATTTGAACTCGGCTCTCCGATTTCCTCAGTCCGAACCGATATTCACTACAACAGATCGCCCATCCCCAGTACAACCAGATACTAAGCCTTCTTCAAAGCAATGGAAATACTGTGGTCGTTCAGCACCCAAAATGCCGAACGCTATCTTTTAGCATACAGTCGTCTGGAACAAAAGCAATGTGGTGCATAAAAGAGAACGGTCATGCAATAAACGGGACTTGTTCCTCATTCTTTCTGAAATTACGGGAAATCTTTAAGGCCTATAGACGCTGTTTGCTCATCAAATGTGTCCAGATGTGGCAAGGCTATGCACCAGTACACAACTCACATGTCGCCCGAAGAGATACACGCTCCTTCAGCAAGTTACATTTGATAGGCAGGCGCTCCTATGATGACGACACGCTGATTAATGAGGTGCAGTACTGGCTGTAGTCCCGAACCGCAGAGTTCTACAATAAAGGTCTCCACGTGCATAAAACTATGAAAGAACTGCGTACCTCTCAGTGGAAGGTATGCGTATCTCCACCCATAGGAAATGGATTAAGGCAAACCTTTAATAGGAATCCGTCGTATCTTTCAATCAGATATCTATTTAACTATATTACGTCTATCTAAAGCTTTCCTATTTTTCTCTTTCGTTTTTCCTATATATATATATATATATATATATATATATATATATATGTACCACCTGAAGAGACCTAATGGTCGAAATCAAGGTTGTATGCGGTT